GGATGGTTTCTTCCTGTGCCTTCAATAAGGCTTCTTTAAAATACTGCCAGTTCTCCTGGACTCCTTTCCCCTTCATGTTACATCCCAGGGAATCCTGCCCATCAGTTCTCTGAGGGAGTCAAAGTCTGCTCTTCTGAAGTCCAGGGTGTGTATTTTGCTCCTCTCCTTTCTTCCTTTGGCCAGGATCCTGAAATCTACCGTCTCATGATCACTGCTGCCCAGATTGTCCCCCACCTCTACTTCCCCTACTTGTCCAGTGGCAGCCCGATGTGGCACGGGGCCCCAGGCATCCGCCTGGCTCCCCTGGACCTAAGGCTGGGCCTGTGTGTCACCCCTGTCACATGCTCTCACACGTGCCACGGTCCCATCTGCACTGCCAGGCCCCTGGGGTCGCGGTCCTGCTGGGGCTGTGACCCCCTGTGTGAACGAAGACAGGGCACCACGGCCACGGCTCCACGCCACGTGGCACAGAGCGGGCACGGCACAGCTCCAGCCAGGCCACGCCGTGTCCCTGGCATGTGGAGACACAAGGCCTGGCCTGGCCCCACCCCTGCTGCTGCCCAGCCACAGCCTCCCGCCCACTCCCGCAGTGGGACTCCCCCAGGTGTGGCGCTGTCCTGGATCCAGGAGGAGCTGGCCTCTATTCCCACCTCTGTCAGCGGCTGCTGGGAGTTTCCCCTCTCACCCTTGCCTGTGTGCTCTTCCGGGCAGGGCGGGCTCCCAGAGCCGGGCTGTGTCCGTGCTGATCACAGGGCGCTGGTCGGCCCAGCCTGGCGGTTGTTTTGAGTCGCTAGTGCGTGAAAGGAGCTGGGGTGTTTGGCGCGTCCGTGCCAAGCAGCTGCGGAGGGTTACTTCATGCCTGGCTAACCCCGAGGCAGCTCCTGAGGCAGCTGCCAGTTCAAACTCAGAGCTGCTGTCTCGGGGAGGTAAAGGGGCTGCGATCGCCCTTGCGTGGAAGCACCGCGGGTCTGGCCCACTCTCCAAAGTGATGCGCTCGGCGTGGGCATGGGCGTGTGCCTGAGGCAGCTGCCAGTTCAAACTCAGAGCTGCTGTCTCGGGGAGGTAAAGGGGCTGCGATCGCCCTTGCGTGGAAGCACCGCGGGTCTGGCCCACTCTCCAAAGTGATGCGCTCGGCGTGGGCATGGGCGTGTGGCGGAGCCTGGAGCTGTCCCTGGCGTTCCCAGGAGCTGGTGAGCAAGCGGTGCGGGGAGGGGATGATGTCTGACCGGCCTAGGGGAAGGGCGGGTCTCGTGGTTAACCCAGCAGCCCCCTGCAGACGGGATCCTGGGCAAGTCACTTCCCTGCCGTGTGCCCTGGTTTGCCCAGGGCAGGGTCAGGAACTAAATCCTGGGAGCTTTTCGGGGCCTGCAGGGTGACCGCTGGGCCCTGCTTCACTGGAGCATGGAGAGAGGCCCCTGGAATTCGTGCTCCGCTGCGCTGGTGGGCGGGAGATTGCCCCTCTGGGTCCAATGTGCCTGGATTCCCCCTGGGTGCCATCTGCCCCCTTGCCCTGTTGCTCTGCTCGAAAGCTGGGTCAGGATCCTTCGCCCCATGTGCAGAGGGGAAACTGAGGCACAACGAGGGGCTTGCACCCAGGCGTCCTTTCTCCCAGAGCCTGCTCTGTGTCCCAGGCCCTCCCCCGCGCAGCACAAGCTGGGCATGTTCGGGCACTGCCCTCGGCTGGCAGAACCCAGCCACTTCCTCCTTCCACTTCCACTTCTGCTGCTCAGCTCCCAGGGCTGTTGTCCCCGATGCAGAACAGCCCTGGGTGGTCACACTGACCTGGCGTGTGGGGCTGGGAGCAGCTGCTGCAGCCTCATGTGCTTGAGTCAGTCACAGGTTGCCTGGCCTGTGACCCAGGGGCCCAGCCAGGGCGAGCTGACGGACCCTTCTGAGAGCAGAGGGTTCCTAAGTGTCTCTGAGGTGCAGCCAGTGCTGGGGTGGAGCAGGGACACCAAGGGGAATCCCGAGTTCTCTAAGTTGTTCCCCTTTAGCGAGTCCACGTGTCGCTGAGCCTGCGTGGTCTGACCTGTTGGGGGTTGTTCTTTGTACAGCACCATGCCCAGGGCCGGGGAGAGACAGGACGCCACGTCCCTCCACAGCTGACAGTCAAAGTAAAGCGCAGCTCCATAGGAATCGCCTCCTGCTCGCCCCGGCTCAGTCTGCCTTAGCTCCAAGGAGCCCCTGCTGGGGGCAATTCCTTCCTGACCCCTGGCAGTTAGCGGCTGGCACGTGCCCTGAGGCATGGAGGTTTCCCAAGGGGTGTGTCCTCTGACATGACTATCAAAGTGGTTCATACACAGGGAATGGCTAATTCGCTTTTAATCTGGCGACAGTTTGCTATGCTATCCTGTGTGATATCCAGGGGCAGTGAGTCCCCTACGTTATCTCCCACATTCAGGAACTGAGCTGCTGTTATGAAAGACGGGGGTGGACGCATCATAATCCCCTTCTTTAGCCTTTCCACTATTTTGAATGCCATGCTCTGCCCCTGCCAAGTTACTGTACGGACCGGTCTGTATGTTCCCTGCCTCCCAGAAGAGGGAGGCTGTGTTCTGTCCCTGCCATGTCTCCGTATGGACTGGTCCATACGTTCCCTGCCTCCCAGATGTGTTCTGTCCCCGCCATGTCTCTGTATGGACCGGTCCGTATGTTCCCGTATGCCTCCTGGAAGGGGCAGGCCGTATTCTGTCCCTGCCCCTTGGGTTTGCAGCTGGTGACTGGTTCTGTGGCTCCTTACAGACTCCCATGAAGAAGACGCAAGCCCTGATTGGCCAGGCGGGTGTCTCCTTTGCCAATGCGGTGAGTGGCACGGCGCTGCGGTACTGGCCTGGGACGTCCCCACCAGAGACCGGGCGAACTCGCCGCACTTGTGGGCCAGGGACAGTCTGTCCCTGCCCCTTGGGTTTGCAGCTGGTGACTGGTTCTGTGGCTCCTTACAGACTCCCATGAAGAAGACGCAAGCCCTGATTGGCCAGGCGGGTGTCTCCTTTGCCAATGCGGTGAGTGGCACGGCGCTGCGGTACTGGCCTGGGACGTCCCCACCAGAGACCGGGCGAACTCGCCGCACTTGTGGGCCAGGGACAGAGCCGGAGAGTGAGAGCTCAAGGCAGAGCCATGAGGCGCCCTGAGTTGGGAAAGGGGCTGCCCAGACAGCCCTGGGGGCAGCAGCCTTTGCCCAGGAAGGGGCTGGGGGTAGGGGGCTCTGCG